GCTCGTTACTGAAAGAATTTTTTTTATTAACGCGGTTATTTTAAACAACGTTATTCCCATCACTGCTGATGGTTGTGTCTACAGCGTGCGGTGACAGTGAGAACACTGAGGGTCTCCGCCCACCTGGCCAATCATCATCGTGTTTGTAAGGGCGTTACCGACACCTCTCTCTCCCTGGCTGCAGCTGAAGTGTGGCGGTCAGAAAGCCTCACACTGTTGCTCAACGTTCGACAAGCACATAGTAACGCACAACCTTCCATCCCCAGTAACGGTAACGGCGTTGCAACTGTGGGAAAAGTAATTAATTAGATTATTCCGTTACCTAAAAAAGAACGCCGTTAGTAACGCCGTTATATTTAAATGGCGTTACTCCCAACACTGGCCATTTTCTCCCAGGTAAATCCACTTAAATGTTGTACATGTGACAACCTGAAAAGTAATATACAGGCAAATAAAAATTTATCAACTCTGCCATGTTGGATAAAAATTCGGTACTCATATCTGTTGCAGACTGTAGGCCACATGCTAGCTAGAATTAGCAGCGTAGCTTCCTGATCGCTGATGCGGGACTCTAAACCGTGGTCATCTTACTCCAGTAAGCTGCCTATCAGCCCGCTATAGGAGTGCCCTACAAAACAAATATTTTTATTAGCCCCATCGCTGGCGTTTAAACTAAATCAAACTGTTTGGAAATCAGTAAAAAAACGAACATGTGATGCCATCAGTCCCATTTTAGTCCACATTTAAATGGTCCTGACTTCAGCTTATGAGGGGCAGCTCCCCTGAGCAAGATGGCCGCCGTTCAGCTACATCACAGTCCTCTGGTGAACAGCGCAGGGGTGCCATCTAGTGTTCATATCTGTGCAAAGAAGCAGACAGATGTCAAACTGTGTGTGTGTGTGTTTATAAATATATATATATATATATATATATATATATATATATATATATATAATATTATATATGTATATATATATGTATATGTATATATGTATATATATATATAATATTATATATGTATATATATATGTATATGTATATATGTATATATATATATAGATATATATATATAGATATATATATATATATACACATATATATATATACACACATATATATATATATATATATATACACACACATATATATATATATATATATATATATATATATATATATATATATATATATATATATATATATATATATATATAATATTATATATGTATATATATGTATATGTATATATGTATATATATATATATATATATATATATATATATATATAGATAGATATAATTATATATATATATATATATATATATATATATATATACATATATATATATATATAATTATATATATAATATTATATATGTATATATATATATATATATATATATATATATATATATATATATATATTAGGTGCTCTCAGACACAGGAGAATCACTCTGATCTGGAGGAACTGATTGGACCTGAACCAGCACCTCCCGCCACCGCCTCCTCTTCATCATCTGCCTCCTCCTCCTCCAGACAACCAGTCTTTAGGTTTCTCTCCAAATTCGGAACAAAGCCTAAACCAGAGTCTTCCTAGTGTAGTGTTGGTACCACAGATAAGCCAGCGTAAGGATGAGCTCTCACAGTCCATCTCTTGTTAAACGGGCTTGGATAATGTGACACATTTTATCACAGCCTGAAACCATTAGCATTAGATATATTGGCAATGCCAGCTTCTCAGTCTTTTGTAGAAAGAGTGTTCAGTATCACAGGTGACCTCACTAGAGGGAAACGCAACAGAGTAAAGGTCACACTAGCACGAAGTGCTTTTCTCAAAATGAATCTCAGCAAATAAATATTCACACTGGTTGAGCCAGTGTTGTAACAAGTGAATATCTACAGACTCAGGTTTAACATGTTTAAATTTGCTGTTCAGGTGGAAGCCTACAGGTCCTTTACTGTACTTATGTTGTGGTGTTAACCATTTTATTGTGAAAAGTTTCTGGAAAAATGCATGTCCTCAAAGGAGACATTTTTATTTTTGAGTATTTCTGCATGCTAGTTTGAAAAATGCTTGTTGTGCAATTGCTAAAAAGAGCACCTTTGTAATTTCCAGTGTGCTTTTTGTTTTTTTATTAAACACGTAAGTGTTAAACATGTGAAGTTAGCTGTGTGTGCTATATCTGATCAGTGGTGGTTAGGAGTTTGGACCCTGTGTATTAAATTACTGTAAATCCTCTAATATTGGCCTGTATTCAATTAACGGCCGGGTATCATATTTTGGCCGGTGTCGGAGTCGGCGGAGGTGAATAATGGCCGGTCTCTTATTGTGGCCGGGTGGAATGTGGTAACAAGCAAGTACGGGGGGCGGTTGTGTCATCCGTCTCACTTTTGATTTGCCAGTGATAGAACGCGAGGGTAACTTTAACTGTGCGGAGACGAAGAGGAGGGGAAAATTTTATATCAAGTTCAAAGAGAACGTGCTGATTATGCTGCAGAACACTCTGGGGAGCAGTAGCAGGGGTTGTATGAGCTAGTCGACTTCACTAGTCGCTGTCACGTGATAATGACCGGCAAGATGCAGTCCTCGGAAAAGACAGCAGCCTGCTGTCAGCAGGTGACAAGCTCCTGCGCTCGAGGGGGGGGGGGGGGGGGGGGGGGCAACTGGCTGTGCCAGAGCGTCGGTACTGACACGCGATCATTCGTGTCGGCTCATTTCCTTTAATGTTTTCTGTCTTTTATTTGCGCCTGATGTGTTTCGCTGCTGTGGAGCAGGGCGCATCACCTTGTCATCCGGTGACGCACCGATCACTGATGCGGCCGGCAAGCAGCGAGCACTCAGCTGTTTTTGCGGTCGGTAGATCTGTGTCCTGAGCACGGCCACAGTAACAATCAGGTGTCGCCACCTCAAAAACGAATTTAACACGCGATCGTTCATGTCGGTTCATTTCCTTGAATGTTTTCTGTCTTTTATTTGCGCCTGATGCGTTTCGCTTCTGTGGAGCAGGGCGCATCACCTGTTTTGTCCTCGGTGACGCACCGATCACTGATGCGGCTGCCAAGCAGCGAGCACTCCGCTGTTTTGCGGTCGGTAGATCTTTTAGAACTGCAGTTCAAAGGTAACTCATAAGGTGAATATATATGAACCCAGGTAGCAGTTTCTCTTTAGGACTGAGAGGAGATGCAGGAAGATAATAAACAGACAGGACAGAAAAGTAGTCAAATAAAAACAAGTTAGTTTTTGTACCTGGTGGTTGCAACAAACAGATACCATTGAAGGTAATCAGAAGTGAGGAACAGAAAATGAAATAATTATTTTAATGTTTAGAGCAGCAGGAACTCCGAGAGGCTGCAGGCGCATCAGTGAGTTTGCGGCCACTGCGCAGGGGGAGGAGGGAGAGGGCAGAAGCAGGGGGAGGGGGGAGAGGACTGAAGCAGAAACTACCGTTGTTAAAAGAAATGTGTTTAACTTTGAAAATGTGGGCGCAATTTTAATTGTCAAAAACTCCAGCGAACCATTAGTTCATTTTGCTCAAATAGAAATTGAGGCCTGCCTCTAATTCTGGCCCTCCTTCCAATAAAGGCCCGGAGCGTGATGAGCTTGATTCAAATACAGGCCCGGGCCTGTATTAGAGGATTTACGATACACTACTAGTTTTTCCGCTCTCTATACAAAAGTAGGAAATTACTTCATTAGAAAAAATATATGTATTTTGTTGACTAAAATTGCTTATTTTCATCGACTAAAATTGGACTGAGACTAAAATGAATGTTTAGCCAAAAGACTAAGACTAAAATAAATAAAATTTCCAGTCAAAATTAACACTGTCTCTATGGGGTAGTGGGTGGGTAACAGTACAGAAGCTGCAGAGGGGTGTGTTAAACTACGACTCTGCTTCCTGGTCTGGACCCTGGGTTGTCATGGAGGACTAATAAAACTGGCCATGTTCCTAGAAAGAAGAGCTGCCCCATCCAAAGAGGGATGATGCTGTCTCTTCGCATCAGACCAGGTTTTCCCCAAAAAGTTTTCCAATTACCAATGTAGCCCACGTTGTTTTCAGGACACCACCTAGACAACCAGCGGCTGACAGCATGTGGCTAAACATTACTGGTTGTTACTGGTCCGATCAGCTTGGTTCTGCCTGAGCTGAGGCTAGAAAAACCTTCAACATTAAGGTTTGTTGTTTATCTTTAAGCTTGGTCGTTAGCATTCGGACCAGATGTGATGTTCTACAGACTTCATTGATAATAAAGTATTTGTTTGAGGTTCGGATGTTTTGAGTTTGTGTGTCTGTTTTAGACTCATTGTGAAAGTTAATGGAACTTCTCTAAGTTATGATATAGGGAGCCCATGTTGCATGTTTTGGAAGCATAGTGCGTAAAAATAGACATAATGATGGTGTCCATTTTCTTCTGAGATGCATCCAAATTTACCACTATAGCAGCCGCTAATTGCTGCGACGTACATTTGCGGCCGTTTTTGTGATGGTTTCATGATCGGTGGAAAGGAGGCTTTAGGCTCCCTATGAAAGTAGCAAAAATACATCACTTTTCATCAGTATAATAGTTTACTTAGTAAAAACTTGCCAACAAACAGCAGAACTTGTGGGCCCTCTAATGACAGCATGATGAATACCTGGATTGATTGTGTTAGACCGTGGCCTCCAGTAACTGATGCATGTACATTAAATTATCTCATGAGGTAATAATCTGAACCTCTCACCTGCTGAGATGGCCTGAAAAATGCTAAATAGGCTGTATTTATATAGTTCCTTCAAGAGTCCTAGAACCCCCCAAGGTGCTTTACAACACAACAGTCATTCACCCACCCAAGTCTATCTCTTAAGAACCATTTCTAAAAGCCTCCCACCCTTAATAGCTCACGATAAACGGTCACGTCTCTCTCTTACAACCTCTTCCTGCGATGTTGGCAGCTGCAGACTCCGTCACAAAGATCTGTTCACATGTTCTGTTAGAGTCCCAATCACTACGACAACTGGTTTAAGATGCTTCAATCTTTATTTAGTACATTTATTTAATCAGTAAAAGCCATCCCCTGTAACAGACGGCTGGGTAACTAGTGCATGTCAAAACCACAAATGAAGGGCTTTCGGAGCATTCAGGAACACTTGCCAAGATAGTCGAGGATTGTCACGTTTTTACACACCTCCTGCTGGATGAAACGGCACCTGCGAACAAATACAGGACAGGGAGGACGTTACTTGTTGTACCTCAGTGTTAAAAAATTCAGCTTATTGTTCTAACCTGACGATGTGTCCAAAATTTCCCTCCGGTTTATTATTAAATTAGTTATATCGTGGGTTTACAATTATCTTTTCATTATTTTGTTTTGCCTCACTCTGGATTCTAATCTGAACGTTGGTCTGTACCCTGACCCGTGTCCTTAGTCTTTCACCCTATCCTTCCTTCTACTTTCCCCTGACCCCACCCCACCCCTAACCCTAGCGCCTACTGATGTAAAAATGTAAAACAACTCAATTAAAGCTTCAAATGTGCCCTGTTTCTTTCCTCTACAACATAAACATTTGTGTTCTGCTGCTATAACCTGTACTTGTGTTGCTTAAGCTAAAATTCTATTTATTTCCGTTACTTGTGTCTCCTGCACAGCAGATCAAATAGAACAGACACCATCATGCACCTGAACTTGAGACTAACAGGTACCAGACCACATCTAGTGCAACAGAATCACACCACAAGCAGAGGCGTACAAAAGTGTGTATGCATGTGTGTGTGTGTGTGTGTGTGTCACGTTGTGGGGTTGTTTAGGACCCAAAGTGCAGATTACCCAGATGACAAGAGGCAGGAGCTGGTATAAAGTAAAAATCCTTTATTTAGGAGGAGAACCAAAAATCCAATAACTAAACTAAGACAAAAAATCCAAAAGCTCACCTTCTGAGCGGAGAACTAAAGACTGAGACTATAGACTAAAGACTGGAGACAACACACCGCTGACCAAGAAATACAATGGACCGACAACAACACTGAGAGAAGACAGGGCTTAAATAGACTGGGAGGAACAATTAGGGAAACAGGAAGCAGGTGTGTGGAGTGTGGGCTGGAGGGAAGACAGGTGACAACAATTATCTAACTGGGGAAGCAGAACCAGAGGAGGGCAGATAAACACAAAACTGAACTAAAACACTGAGGGAAGGACTCACACACACAATCACACCCAAATACACTCACACACACTGAATTGGGGAATGGACACACACACACACACTGAGTTGGGGAATGGACACGCACACACCCAAACAGACACAGAGGTGGGGACAAAGAGGCTGGAGCTACAACTGGAGGGGATGGGGATGATCGAATGCCTACAAAAAGAAAACACATAAATGAGACGCAGACAAAGGACACATGAAGATGCTATGAGACACAAAAGGGAATCTAGAGAGGGATGGAGGACACCAGGAGGCACATGAAGGAGGGGGCAGACGCAGACCATGACAGTGTGTGTGTACTTGTACATCTATTCTACTTAGGACCAGAAATGGCATATTCACCAATCTTCTGAAGATTAATGGTCTGTATTAGGACCAAAACCCGGTGCTAATACGGTGGACCCCAGCTTTAGGCTTAGGGATGAGGTTTGCAGGCAAGATGTGAATTGAGTTGTTGTTAGTTAGGTTTAGGAATACACTGGTTATGGTTGTGGTTAGGATAAGGGTTTGGGTTAGGCATGAATGCAGTTAATAAAATGAATGGAATTCATACAAAGTCCTAATATGTATAGAAATACAAGATTGTGTGTGTGTGTGTGGGTGGGGTGGGGGCTCAGATGCACCTGTTCGAGGGCGGAGAATTCAGTCAGAGGAGAAAGTAGCTTTAGACAACAGGATCTGGAGTCTTATTTCCTGATATTTGAATATCCCACCCATGATTGGCTAACATCAAGACGACTCTACCACTGAGTGTCTGTTTGCTCTGCAAGGTTGATGTTTTACCTCCACAAATAACACAAGTCTGTAGGAGTTCTGCTGTGTGGTGGAGTTGCTAATGCTAACAGTTAGTTTCTACTAGCTGAGACGTTCTCGATTGTTTCCTGGACGCTAAACCAACAACAGCCTTCCCCGTCGTCAGCCAAGATGGGTGACTCCATGAATGTTAGTGACGGTGTGACGTAGATCTGTCAGGATTTTCATATCCTAGAGTTTCACCATCTATTTTCTGTCAGAAGCTAATGCAGGAGATAGATGTAGGAGACTATTTTCATGTTCAGCCTAGATGGGAAAACTGAGAGACGGATTATAATCGGAAATAAAAAAAAAAAAAGTTTTTTCAGTGAAGTTGACCTTTAAAGACTAGCACAGCACAAACATACGGAGGGAGGGTTTGATATTTTTAACGTACATTTAAATGTTTGTTCTAATCTCAACATTGATTGCAGTTTTTCGACATTTGAACGTTTAAAGCAAAACATTAGACTAAATTACTTACACTGATTTGTTCTTGTCCTCGTTATTCTCGTACTTGTCACGGCTCTTCCCACTGCGGGCAAATTTCAAATGTGTTTAAAAACAATTCATCCAAAAGGGAAAAAAGGAAAAAGATAAAGAAAGAAGGAAAAAAGGGAAAATAAAAACAATTAATTCATTTACTTATTTATGAACCATTCTACTGAATGCTTTATTAATTTGTTGAGTTTACGTTGTTATGTAATTTTACAATTGAATCTTAAACTTTTTGGAGATTAGAGTCAAACTTTCAGGTTTCTTTCTTGGTTTGGTTTGTTAAAACGTCCTTCAGTATGAAAGGGAAGGATGTGGGAAAACATAGAAAAGCAGGTTCTGCCCTCTGAACCAACGCTCGGGAACTCTATCAGCCCTGAACACAACATCCATGATGTGTGACTGGTCTCTAGGCTTTTCTGGGAAACAAACACACCGCTCTTCGGTTTGAGATAAAAGACAGATTTCACCAAACAGGAGATCAAAGAGCTGCTCTACTTTTAGCTATTTCTGTGAGACTGTTTGTGGTTTTTATTCCAGTAAATAATTTGTTGCTATTTGTGTTTTATTTTCAATGGGTATTTATCTAATTTCCCATTTTAGTTATTTTTACGTGTTTTTACACTGTGGGACAAAAGAAAGTAAAAAAAAAACAACACATTTAATACGTTTCTGGGATCCTCTCTTAGCACATGAATGAGGTGACTTTGTAAAGGTCAGTAGGTACGAGAACCAGACCCAGCAAATGCACGACAGACAGTACTGCATCAAGCTCTCTGCGGTTATTTCTAATTGTTTCAGGTCTGGTTTTCTCTGACATTTTTGATCCAAATCACCAAAGCAGGGCTCTTCAGAAGAGGCGGGCTGTTTAAAAACTGAATGCAGTGGTCAGGATGCCGACGTGCATTTATGAATTATTTTCAATTCAGTTCAAGTTTATTTATATAGCGCCAAATCACGACAAGAGTCGTCTCAAGGCACTTCACATAATAAACATTCCAATTCAGGTCAGTTCATTAAGCCAATCAGAAATAATGTTTCCTATATGAGGAACCCAGCAAATTGCATCAAGTCACTGACTAGTGTCAGTGACTTGATGCAATCCTCATACTAAGCAAGCATTTAGCGACAGTGGAGAGGAAAACTCCCTTTTAACAGGAAGAAGCCTCCAGAGAATCCTGGCTCAGTATAAGCAGCCATCCTCCACGACTCACTGGGGATGCCGACGTGCATTTATCAATAATTTTGACCCTTATTGATCAGGGAAGTTCCCTCGATAGACTCGTATTATACCGCATCAGAGACGCTCGGCCAAAGCGCTCCGAAGTTTCAGCAAAACAAGCGATAATGTTGGTGTTCCTGGGCCCATTTCAAAATCTGGATTTCCATCTTTAAGGCTTTGCGTGGCAGTGCTCCTCCCTACTTAGCAGCACGACGTCACAGACATTACGGTCACGTTGGTCTGCTGAGTGGGACTCACTCACTAAGCATAAAGTAAGGGGTGTTAGCTCCATTGCTCTGGAATGCTCTACCATTGGCTGTCAGACGAGCTACATTACAGTCATTGAAGAGCCGTCTAAAGACACATTTTTATTCGGTGGCTACTGCTACGTGAGTGCAATACCTCATGGATGTTTCATTGTCCTTTCTGTTAGGTATTTTTATTAAACGTTCACGTTGGTTGGTCTGTGAATCTTTCTTTCTGTGAGATTGACGAGTTCCTGTGAAATTTGTAATGCCTGAGGCCAGAGAGTCTCTGGAATGTGGTAACCATGGTAACCCTAGGAGATGGGTGTACCTGTATGTAACTTGAGAAGGCCCCGCCTTCTCCATCCTTTGCTGATTAAAGCCACTGGAAACTCATTTGGCTAATTCAGTGTAAAATGTCTCCCTTTTGTCCCGTGTATTCATTTCAGGTTCCAGGGTTATGGAGAAGTAAAACTTACCCAACATTTAATTACCCAACACTTTCTTCTAATGGTTTTGTTCTTTTTCTACAAGGGTCTATTAAATGATTATGTTTTATCTGTTGTGCTGTATCCAGCACCCAGATGGTTTTGTAAAGCGCTTTATGAACACAGATTGTTAGGGTCTGACTCGTAAGCCCCCTTCAGACAGGCCATGAAAAACGGAAATGTTCCGGACTAACCCTAACCCTCTGTCCGTAAGACCTTTGTCTCTGAATACAAACGTCCGGATAACGTGTTCCGGAATTTAACCGGACGAAGCCCCCTAGTAACAGGTCCAGACTTGTTACGGACAGGGTGGCTGCTTCAGACTGGTGAGGTAGAGTTCCGGACAAGGGGGAGGGGGAGGAGGAGGGGACCGGGGGACGCTGTGCGCACCTAGATAGCCCGCTGCTGTAGCATGCGGCGAACCACGGCAGCTCGCCTCCTACGGTACCGTCTAGACGCGCGACGGAGCGCTTCACACCGCTTCAGTGATTCCTTTAACCATTGAGCTTCATCATCCAGGTCTCTTATGCGTCTTTGTGTGCGCAGAATTATGCTTAAGCGCCTCGTGATTTTTATCTTGAAAGGCGCTATAGAATATTTTCTTCTTCTTCTTCTTCTTAACATAAGTCCGATTCCCACCCCACCCCACCCCCGCCGCCGTCAGACATCTGGAACTTTTCCCTGCTGTGTGAACGCAGCCGAAAGGACAAGTTCCGGTACAAAAGTGGTGTGTCTGAAAACACAGTTCCGGTTAAAAACCGGATTGAATTGTCCGCACATGTTCCAGAATGTCTGTCTGAAAAGGGCTTAAGTGACTTGTCCTCTCACCTTCGCAAAGGCTTTTTATTAAAATCTTGTTAAGTCTTTTTCACCAGACTCAAGGAACGTATTTGTCTACCACCGTACAATTTCCCAACAATTCAGAACCTGAAAACTGTAGTTAAACATTAACTTACCCAAATTTACCGGTCAGCAGCAGCAGACATTTGATGTCATCCTCGATGCTGTCATCAACCAAACCTGGTGGAAAATCAAAGAGCACAAGCTGAGGCTGCTATTGAACCACGGCAGACACAAGGCAGCTTAACTCGGGAACGATGGAAGAGAAAAATAGATAAAACCATTTCCTGCTACAAAATGGGTTCATTCAAAAACCTTTTAATGATTAAACAACTAAAACAATCTAAGTGAACTCACTGCTGCAGCTCACACCACAGATGCCTTTTGATGCATTCACACTGCTGCTGCAGACGCAGTCAGGGAGCTGAAAGATGCCGTAAAGAGTGACGTTCTTGGTACCCTCCTTGCCATCCTGGACCATGGCAGCATCACGGCGATGATGCGTGTGGCCACCATGACGATGCCCTACTGATGAATTTCCATGGTCGTTCTCGACTGGATGGGTTACATTCTTGGTACCATCCTGGACCTTGGCAGCATCACGGCGATTACGCGTGTGGCCACCATCACGATGCCCTACTGATGAATTTCCACGGTCGTTCTCGACTGGATGGGTTACATTCTTGGTACCATCCTTGCCATTCTGGACCTTGGCAGCATCACGGCGATTACGCGTGTGGCCACCATCACGATGCCCTACTGATGAATTTCCATGGTCGTTCTCGACTGGATGGGTTACATTCTTGGTACCATCCTGGACCTTGGCAGCATCACGGCGATGACGCGTGTGGCCACCATCACGATGCCCTACTGATGAATTTCCATGGTCGTTCTCGACTGGATGGGTTACATTCTTGGTACCATCCTGGACCTTGGCAGCATCACGGCGATGACGCGTGTGGCCACCATCACGATGCCCTACTGATGAATTTCCACGGTCGTTCTCGACTGGATGGGTTATGTTCTTATGATCATCATTTCCACTTGACCCAAAATGAGAGCCTATACTTCTTCGCTTACTGTCTTTATCGCCTTCTTTGATGGTCTGCTTAGTCACAACGCTGGTGCTAAAATTGGATCCCTGCATGACATCACAGACAACTGAAAGATAAAAAAGATCACATCATTATCTAATTCTATTTTTGATTTACAAAAATGTTCTGACCTTGCAATGTTTCTGCAGCTCTGAGGCTCGGAGTGTCAAATGCCCATAAAGCTTTAAAACCCAGAGAATACCAATAAGCATGAACAGAATCCTCTCCAGTACTCAGGTACACTTTATTATTGTGAGCTAGGAGTGTGAAACAAAGTCGGCTTTAATATTCGTCCATGTAGCTGGTCTAACCAGGACATATTTCTATTCCATTGCTCTATTAAACTCCACTATTCCATTATAGACAGGGTTTCAGACATCCAATCAGAAACAAAATGCATCAGGTTTCATTAAAAAACCCATCAGACAGCCGAAAAAATAGCAACAGAAAAAAGGTCCCGTGAAAAAGCGTGTCAGACTTGTCTGACAGACTTTTTCTTCAGACCTTGTTGTCTGATGCTCTTTAGTCAGATGTCTGACGGGTTTCTGAATGAAAGCTGATGTTTTTGCCCTCTATCGTCTGATGTAAGAGCAGAGGACCTCCTAAAATGTACAGCATACACGTGCTTGTTTTATAAATGTGTACAGTTGACAAGTAGTACTTACTCTTGGCCAAGTCCTCAGTCTTCAGGCTCTTGTCTACTGCCTTCAGCTGTTTAACCAGCTCACATCTGGATATGGTTAGAGCTCCAGTCAGACTGCAGCCCAGCACTCCAGCAACAAAAAGTACCAGAACCTTCATGTTGGCATGAGCAGTCTCAGTCTCTGGGACTGAGCATCATGATATTTATATATACTGTACATACCAGTCTAGGTAAAACACAGGAGATGCCACTCCCTAGACCCTTAATGTTGATGTGAAATCTCAGCTTTGACGCTTCAAAGAAAGAATAAATCTAGCTGAAACTGGAACTTCTCCCACGTCACCTTATAGCATTTGTCAACTCCGAGACTTTGGCATAAGAATAGAAAAGGGGACAACAGTGAATATGGAGTGTACCTAAAATAAGGGACATATTGTGCTGTCCACACCCCAGCACTCCCAGAAAGAACAAAAGCAACACAACAGCAAGAGGTTTCAGTGGAAAGTTTTGTTGTACTCAGGATTTTTAAATCCCTGCTTACTGAAAGCTCAAATACATTTACAACACTTTTCCCCAAACGAAGTTATGGTGAAGAAGGAAAAGAAAACATCCAAATGTACTTTTTGTGCTAGAAACTGAGATTTGTGACACGGTGTATGAAGTAGCCATCAGAAGATGGGTCCATGTGGTCATAAAGGGATGAACATGGTCAGCAACAATACTCAGTTATATTGGTGTACCTTCTATTGGCCGCTCAGGCGCAGGAAATGCGGTCGCCATCTTAGATTTGTTTTTGCGTACCGGTAAATTTTCCGGGTATTATTCGAAATCTCCAAGATTTCTGAAAGAATATCCGTCTGTCCTCAAACATCACTCATTCAGTCTGGCACGAGCTCCACAAAGCTCTAAGTGGTTGTCTGTATTTTCAGCTAGTCATTAATGTACCAGCCTGAATTATTGTCTCAGTCCGCCCCTGACAGAGAGTGACGACATCAGTGGTGCTCGTGGTCATCGGGGCACTCGGGGAAGTAAGTCCCACCTCCCTAAAACACTCAGTGCAGCCTGCTGGGTTTCTTATATAGGAAACTTTTTACTGATTGCCTTAATGAACTGACCTGTTTTAGGATGTGTACTGTGTGAAGGTCCTTGAGACGACTCTGGTCGTGACTTGGCGCTATAGAAATAAACTGAATGGTGCTGTACACACTATACTTTATATGTTTTGCTGGCAGCAGCAAAGCTAACTGTGTATTTTTCCTTATGAGAAAAGGCTGCTCCCTGACGTGTTGAATATCATTTTGTTTCAAATGTCTTCTCTTTTGTAGGTCATACCAGATCAGGTTTCGTCGAAACTGGAGCTTCAGATTCAGCGCAGAAAATAGAACAATGGTGAGTGCAGAAAGACCTGAAGGCAGCGATCAAGTTAAACTAAAACTTGGAGAGAAAAATGAAAGCAACATGTCTGCAATTTGGAAAATACGTCTTGTCAGTTTCTCTGGAAGGATTTTCCAACCTCTACCTGCATGTTTTTAAAATCCCAGTTTTTCTAGAGCTCCAAATTTGTCAAAGAACAGTTTACAATGTGATAAAACTAGTGGTGATGCAGTGACAGCAGTGGCAATGCAAGGTTGTCATGGGATCCCAGGCAAAAAGACCAGGGGTCTCATATATAAAGCTTGCCTCACTCAAAATGCTGTCGGGGTCTGAATATGGCGTAAAGCATTTTCTACAAAAACTTTGTGACTTAAAAAAAAAACTGCTTAGGGCCATTCAAAGGCAATAAAACTTTTTCTCCACGCCTTCGTCATGCCCCAGAACCTCCAGTCCCATCTGTTGGCATCGAAATGCCGCCTAACAACAGATTTACCGTAAATCCTCTAATACAGGCCCGGGCCTGTATTTGACTCAAGCTCACCAAGCTCCAGGCCTTTATTGGAAGGAGGACCAGAATTAGAGGCAGGCCTCAATTTCTATTTGAGCAAAATGAACTAATGGTTCGCTGGAGTTTTTGACAATTAAAATTGCGCCCACATTTTCAAAGTTAAACACATTTCTTTTAACAACGGTAGTTTCTGCTTCAGCCCTCTCCCCCCTCCCCCTGCGCAGTGGCCGCAAACTCACTGATGCGCCTGCAGCCTCTCAGAGTTCCTGCTGCTCTAAACATTAAAATAATTATTTCATTTTCTGTTCCTCACTTCTGATTACCTTCAATGGTGTCTGTTTGTTGCAACCAGCAGGTACAAAAACTAACTTGTTTTTATTTGACTATTTTTCTGTCCTGCCTGTTTATTATCTTCCTGCATCTCCTCTCAATCCTAAAGAAAAACTGCTACCTGGGTTTATATATATTCACCTTATGAGTTACCTTTGAACTGCAGTTCTAAAAGATCTACCGACCGCAAAAACAGCGGAGTGCACGCTGCTTGCCAGCCACATCAGTGATTGGTGCGTCGGAGGACAAGGTGATGCGCCCCGCTCCACAGCAGCGAAACGCATCAGGCGCAAATAAAAGACAGAAAACATCAAAGGAAATGAACCGACATGAACGATTGCGTGTTAAATTAGGTTTTGAGGTGGCAACACCTAATTTGATAATGTTACTGTGGCCGTGCTCAGGACGCAGATCTACCGATCGCAAAAACAGCGGAGTGCTCGCTGCTTGGCGGCCACATCAGTGATCGGTGCGTCGGAGGACAAGGTGATGCGCCCCGCTCCACAGCAGCGAAACACATCAGGCGCAAATAAAAGACAGAAAACATTAAAGGAAATGAGCTGACATGAACGATTGCATGTCAGTACCGACGCTCTGGCACAGCGCGTTGACACCCCCCCCCCGATGCGCAGGAGCTTGTCACCTGCTGACAGCAGGCTGCTGTCTTTTCTGAGGGCTGCATCTTGCCAGTCATTATCACGTGACAGCGACTAGTCGATGACAGGAATAAGTCGACTAGGTCATACAACCCCTACTACTGCTCCCCAGTGTTCTGCAGCATAATCAGCACGTTCTCTTTGAACTTGATATCAAATTTTCGCCTCCTCTTCGTCTCCGCGGTTAAAGTTACCCTCGTGGTCTATCAATGGCAAATCAAAAGTGAGACGGATGACATAACCGCCCCCGTACTTGCTTGTTACCACATTCCACCCGGCCACAATAAAATACCGGCCATTATTCACCTCCGCCGACTCCGACACCGGCCAAAATATGATACCCGGCTGTTAATTGAATACAGGCCAATATTAGAGGATTTACGGTATGTAAATTCAGAATTCATTTCAGTTGTGCCCCCAAAGGGTGGATATGGCCACCCCTGGAAAATTGCTGGCCGTCCCACTAGCCATACCCAAGACAGACCGGTGTTCTTAACTTATTAACTGCCGTGGAACACTAAAGTCGTCATTTGCATTTTTTTACTGTGTGGGCGTCAGAATGAGCCCCCGCACCGTGAGAACAACCATACCAGCTCTAAAGCCAATCTTCATCTGCGTACATCACACGCCACATGATCAGGAAGCAGGATATCCATGTGCTAGGACAGTGGTTCCCAAACTTATTTAGCCGCGCACCCCCTTCTATGTCCCGACCATGTTGACGCACCCCCCAGCCCCCCAGCAGGGCATGGCTATTTATATATATATGTGTGTATATATGTATATATATACATACATATATATATATATATATATGTATATATATATATATATGTATATATATATATATATATACATATATATATATATATATATATATATATATATATATATATATATATATATATATGCCCTCTATCATATATATATATATATATATATATATATATATATATATATATATATGCCCTCTATCATATATATATATATATATATATATATATATGATAGAGGGCATATATATATATATATATATATATATATATATATACATACATATATATATATATATATGTATATATATATATATATATGTATATATATATATATATATACATATATATATATATATATATATATATATATATATATATATATATATATATATATATATATATATATGCCCTCTATCATATATATATATATATATATATATATATATATATATATATATATCAGACGTCACGCTAGACCAGGGGTCGGCAACCTGTTCCCATCAAAAAGCCATTATTATCCGTTTCCCACAGTAAAGAAAACACTGCAGCAGCCGCGGCGTTGTGGGCGGGGCCTACCCTCAGACAGCAGAGAGCTGCTCACAACAGGTGACAGCAGCCGGTACCGGTCGCTCGTGTACATCAAAGCTATCTTTCATAAGAAGATAATCAATAAAACGATTTATATAAAGTGGATCCAGAAGTTGTAGCCTGTCTCTGCCGACAATATTTTGATATTTTTCACCCTGTTGGTGGTTTTACTGAGCAGGTGCCACTTTTGTCATACGTTTCATTTTAAAACATGTTTAGACTGTTCAGAATACAAATCCAGGCTCTGTCACGTTTGATTGTTGTAATTAAACTTTGTAGGTGGGGAAGGTCAGAAAAGGATCCGATCAATTTGTTTTTCCCTCATTTACAGTGACGGAGACAACGGCACAGTGCGCCTGGCTCTGGTGGTAATCAAGTTTAATTTGTAACAATTTTCACAAGAAAACAGAACAGTTAAAAGCAGGGCTTGTGTTGACCGGATAGTTCCCGTATTTGGCCGTTTATTTTGACGGAGAAAGAATAGAAAGAATTACCCCGACGCGTGCAGACAAACTGACATTTTATTTGTTTCGCACATTGCAGATGTAGCTAAATCACTCAAGAAAAGATTTCCTTCTGAACATCTGAGCTGGACGTTGCTCAGCGCAGCTCACTGTCAGTGCGTACACACAGCGGTGCACAGCGAGCTGAAGATGTGGAGAGGGGCTTGGAGTGCGTTGCAGAACCAGAGCGCATGCAGGAAGATTCCTCCAACTGAAGCGAGAGTTTTCCAAACCCAGTCTTTCAGAGAGACTTGTCACTTAGAAAATGTTCCCTGATGATGAAAATTTGGCTGAATAGCGCTTGTTCCTGTCTCCAATGTGCCGTCTGAGGAGAGTCCCAGAATCTCGCATCGTCTTCAGCTCAGAAAGCGCCTATATGATTACGCACAAGCGTGACGCGTCAACCCGGTCTCACAGTAGACCGGGTTGGACCTGTTCACATTTACGCAGACAATCTACATTTGGAATTGACATACAGATGTAAAATTTATGCAGTAAAATATAAAGCATTTTATTTAAATATCCATTCATTATTTTAAAAGCACAGAGAGCCGCATCAGATGGATGGAAGAGCCGCATGCGGCTCCAGAGCCGCGGATTGCCGACCCCTGAGCTAGGGCATGTGCAGAGGACACACACACACACACACACAAGCAAAATATACTTGTTTTCAGTTACGTTTATTGGGCCCACTTACATTTTCTTAGGCCCACCCACAAATGAGTTTCTGGCTACGCTAATGGTG